GCAGGGGAGGTGAGGGCGAAGGTGGTTCTTCGGAGGTGAAGGGCGCTGTGTGGGTAACAAGGGAGAGTGTGGGTGAAGAGGACACGTACCTGGTGGAGGTGGAGGGCGGCATTGGTGTTGACATCATCACTCGCTGGTAGTCAAGTTGTCTGGTTGCTTTCATTGCTGTAGTTGTAGGCTTAGTTTGTAGAGTAGATAGGGCGCCTGGCCACCATTCACAAGAGAGAGCTACATTGGGTTATGCTGTTGGTGTTGCCCTGTTGGGCTTGGACATTGACTCACGATTCTTCTGTATCATTCTCAAATGGATGGTTACTCGGTTCCATTGTGCTATCCGCTCTGGCTTTGACTACTTGGACTTCAGTGTGATTTTGCATTCTGGATTTCTGTGCTTCGTCCATACTCATGTTCCTTGCAATTTGGTATCGGAGCTGGTATGATTCGCCACTTACCTTTGGCACGCTGGCGTTATACAGACTTGGTGCGTTGATGATGCTTCTTCGCAGTTGGTACTTGTGACGTCAGGCCATTGATAGGCGCACGCCCTGGGTAGAGAGGGGTGCGCCGGAAGGCTAAGACGGCAGTGTATGCCGTGGTGACAGGCGGAATGTATGATTGGTGATGAGAGCATGCTGATGTGGCATTCGGCTGAGGTGGCACTGCATTGCGTTGTGGGTGGTACCGAGGCCAAGGACCTGTCATCAAAATGCACACTCAGCTCAATTGGTGAGAAATCTGTGGTTGGGGGCAGCTATCTCCAGGTACATTGTTCCCTTACCTTATCTACTCTCTCAATCTTTTCTTACCGTGAGGAAGTGAGAGTCCTCTCTTTTGGTGAGGTGTCGTGAGCGCGCTACCTTGAGAGACGACAATCTTCCCGGAAGCATCTGGAAGGAGAAAGGGCGGTGCCTCTGAGCCCTGGTCGAAGCACTGGGTCACGGTCACCATGCCAACCCAATGGGAACCATGCCAACCCAATGGGAGTAGGTCACGCATGCGATGACTGCTGTCCATTTTGGCACTTGCTGCGCTAAATAGAAGTTCTGCCGGGTGTGCCAGCCCATGACAGACGCTTACCAGACCGTCTATAAACATTTCTGGTTGGGAGTTCATTGTGAATCTGGCTGTGATCGTCGTCCTGACTGCGACGTTAAATAATTCCTGCAGAGATGGGGGCGCTCTATAAATTCCTCCTGATCAGCCAGATCACATGGACAGGAGGGCTTGTCGCCGTACGAGGGTAAATAAGAGTGGTTGGGCTGGCTTGCTCGGTAACGACTTGGGCACAGGGGTGGGCCGATACACACACGGAGACACTGCTCGCTCAATGATGCTTACCGGTATGTTGGATTGAGGGGAAGGGTAGGTTCTAATTGGTGCTCAACTGTATACACAACCATACCCACTCATCATACATCTG